GTGGAGGCAGGCCGGAGACCCTACCTGGGCGGGAGGTGGGGCTGGGGTCCCTGCCCTTTCCTTCCTGCCTGGTCCCTGGGCAGCTTTGTCCCAACGGCACACCGGGGCTGGGAGGGCGGCTATGATTGCCCAGCCTCGGTGTTTGCATGTCTGAAACAGGCTGTCCTGAGGGTCGCGGTCAGCGTGTAGTGCCCAGCACCATCCCTGGCAGGACTGAGGCGGGCAGCCATCAGGATGGGGCAACTCTGTCTTGGGAACGCGGCTGTTGGAGGCCTCATGACAGCCGCATGGGAACGGGACCTGGATAGAGGTCTGGGGGACTCCAGCCTCATTCCCAGAGAATGATCTGTAGCCCCTTGCTACGGGGCCTCAGCACCTCTGGTCCTGGAGGCCTTGGAGAAGCTACTGCCCCCATCGTGGGGTGTGACAGCCACGACTGAGCAGCCCCCCTCACTGGTCTGCAGACGGCAGCTTTTGGGCCTCGTCATGCTGTACCCAGACCCTGGGAGAGCAGGCGCAGGGCCTGCAGACGTCCAGGGTGGAGCGGGCTTTGGGGCAGGCCGGGTGGAGGTGGACAGGACAGCTGTGCTCTGGCAAAGGGTACCCAGGGCTGGGCTGGACGAGGCCGAGAATCAGCTCGACCCCTGAGCTCTCCATCAGGAGGCCACTCTCCAGGGTCAGCAGGGAGATTGACCCGGGCCGGGATCTGTTAATCACCACAGACGGGGCGGCCGCAACCACCACTGTTTACTGTCCCACCGTCTGGAGGCCAGACGCCCAAGGTCAAGGTGCCGGCAGGGCTGGCTCTTTCTGAGGGCCATGAGGGAGCATCTGTTCCTCTCCTTGGCTAGTGGACAGACAGCCATCCCCATGTCCACACGGCCTTCTCCCTGCATACCTGCGTCCACATTTCCCGTCTTCCAAGGACACCAGTCATGGTGGATTAGCACCCACCCGTATGAGCTCACCAACACCAGCAGCTCCGTAAAGGCCCCATCCTGGGGTGCTGGGGCCAGGACCTCAGCGTATGAATTTGGGGGACACAGTTCAGCCCATGCCACCACGTTTCCCAGGTCGGTGCTGTGGCCTCCCTGTCGGCACTTCCCGTCTGACCACTGGGAAAGGGCGGTGCCCGCCGTGTGGGTCATGAGGGCTCGATGTAGAAGAGGATGCCTCCCCAGCACGGGTCGTGGGGGCTGTTCTGAGGCCCCAACCATCCACCCACCCAGCAGCCCCTGCCTGGGTCCTGGGGCCCTTGTGCCTTTCAAAATGGCCCCATTCCATTGCTCTTAGCGCCTTGTGTGGCCTTTGCAGGCCCCTCTCCCTTCTCAGAGGCAGCGATGCTCAATGGGGAAACCATCTCGCCTCCTTAAGGAAGTCTGTCCATGTTTTACCAGAAGGTCTCTAGGGAGCCGAGGTCAGCCCCTCAGGTGACCCTTGTCCCGCCCTCTGCCCCTCGTCCTGCTGCTGGATGCTGAACTGAGTGAGGTCTGCTTCTCCCACACAGCCGGGCCCTAGCCACTGGCAGGAGCTGGTGTCTCTGCATGTGGCTCCCTCCCTGCTGGGGAGGCAGCAGGTGCTGGGGGGCTGGAGCAGAGGTGGCTAGGGGTGGGGCTCTGCCTTGTGCCAGGAGGGGACCATGGGCTGGATCCACAGAGCTCCCCATCAAAGGGCTGCCTCCACTTCCACCATATGTCCTTGCCTGCGCATCTGGCGGCCCCTGGGCCCTGCCTGTCAGGGCCCACCTGCCTCTTGCTCTTGAAGTCGGTAGAGAGACCCAGTGGTGGTTTGCCACTGGGGTAGAGAGGGGCAGGCTTGGTGGAGGCTGAGTGCCAGTTTGTCTCTCCCATTCCTCTCCAGGTGATTTCTCCTACTCTCTTGGGATCATTCTCCACTCCAGCCTGGTCCCTGCTGCTGCTCCTGGGGCTCCCAGCTTCCCTGCCTCTCCTCCCCTCCTCTATGAGGTGGAGGGATAGAGGGTAGATGTGGAGGGACAGGCCTGAGTGCAGATCGCATCCAAGGGGGCATTTGGCTGCCATCCAGGAAGGCTGATCTGAGCCCAGGCAGGGGAAGCATGGACACTACTCTGGCAGATGGTGAACCCAAGACCAGTGCAGTATCCCATTGGCTGGGCTATGCCTGGGCTGCACAGATGGGATGGCCAGGCCCCAGAGCCTCAGGGAGGCCAGCGACATGCCCCAGGTCACGCAGTCAGGCTGTGATGTGCGACCTGCCTGACCCAAGCTGCTGTGCTCTGTACAGCACATGACTTTCCTCGGAGGCACCAGGTCCATGCAGGTGGCTTGTGATGAAGCATGTAACTGATTCCACGCGTAAGCTTCCTTTAAGGGACCGGTTGTGTGCAGAGGGTCAGACCTACCTCAGAGCACATCTGTGATGTCAGCCCTTCTGTGGGGGGCATGGGTGGTTAAGAGCTGGCTGTGTCGCTGGGCTCCAGCTTCGAATTCTGACCCCACAGCTCACAAGCTGGTGGCTTTGGGCAGGTTACTTCCCCTCTCTGAGCCCTCTGCAGACCACGGTCTTGACAGGACTCGCCCTGCAGCTCTGGGTGAGGGTAGCGTGAGCAAAGGCTCAGGAAAGGGCGGCTGTCCTGCTGATGAGGTCAGTGCTTCTGTGTCTGCACCAAGGACAGCACTTGGGTCCTAGGCTCAGGCACTTGGACCCAGGTGCTGTCCTGGGTGCTGAACTGCTCCTTGGCTCAGATGCCTTTTCCCTGCTAGGAGGGTTGTGGGTTTCTGCTGCCCTCCCACTCCCAGCTGTGAGCTATTGGAGGTCGGTTTCTCATTCATTCTGGGCCTCCTGGCCCCTCCCTTCCCCCTCCCACACACAGCTGGCCTGTGACCCATGACTACAGCTGGGGGCGGGGAGACCTGAGCCTGGAAGCAGGGCTGTTCAGATGGTGACTGATCTTCAGGCTGGTGTGTGGGTCCCTTCCAAAGTGGAGTGACACTGAGGCAGCTTGAGTGAGTTGAACACCCATCCAACGCCCAGCAGATCCCCCACGCCACCCTACAGTGGGACTGGATCTTCACTCAAAAAGTCATTGTGGACACCCCCCCCACCAAAGTCCAAGTTCAGTCCCACCTACTTCAGGAAGCTCCCTGACTCTCCCCCTTTCCCCACCAATCCCTTCCCCCTCTCATGGCTGAGTTTCTGTGCCTCACTCTGCCCCACCCCCTGTAATGACTTTGAGAAATTAGATGGACAGAGGATGGGTGGGTGGGTGTATGTGCGTGTGGATGGAGAGTTGGGTGAGTGGATGGATGGATGGATGGATGGATGGAAGGATGGATGGATGGATGGATGGATGGATGGATGGAAGGATGGGTGGATGGATGGATGGATGGATGGATGGATGGATGGATGGATGGATGAGTGGGTGGATGGGTGGGTGGGTGGATGGAGAGTTGGGTAGATGGATGGTTGGAAGGATGGGCGGATGGGTGGCTGGGTGGGTGGGTGGATGGAGAGTTGGGTAGATGGATGGCTGGATGGAAGGATGGATGAATGTGTGGATGGATGAAGGATGGATGAACGGGTGGATGGATGGAAGGATGGATGGATGGATGAATGGATGGGTGGATGGATAGATGGTTGGATGGATGTGTGGAAGGATGGATGGACGGGTGGATGGATGGGTAGATGGATAGATAGGTGGAATAATGGGTGGATAAAAGAATGGATAGCCCTAACATCCACCTTATGGCCCAGATGGGCAACCTGGGGAACTCATCCTTGACTTCCCTATTTCACTTCCATTGCATATTCAGTCACAAGCATGTTCTGAGGATTCCTCTCCTGGCCTTCCCTCTGTCCCCTCTGACCCCCCCTTTTCTGCTCCAGACTCCTGCCCATCCATTGATCAGCCTTCTTCCTGATCAGTCTTCCTGTTTCTTCTCCCCTTTCCTACCCACCCCCCATTTGCTTTCCAAGTGGTCTCTTCACTACACTCTCTCCCTGCTTAAAATGCCTCACTGTCTTCTGTGCTGTCTGTGGGGTGCTGCTCAAACCCCTGTACCATCCACATCCCATCCTGTCTGTCTCCCCTGCTTCACTACCCCCACCCCTCTCTGGCCACTTGGTGACTGACCAGATTATTTTAAGCTCCCATTTTGTCCTAGGTTCTCCCTTGGTCCCCTGCCTTCCACCTCCTGACCTGCTTGGGGAGTCCCCCCCCGGCCCAGGACCCCGGTGAAACATCTTTTCTTCCAGAAGCCCCCCAACCCCCACCCACCCAGGAATCCCAGCACAGATCTCTGTGTCTTCCTCTCCATGAGGTCTTTGATGGTGGGGCCCAGAACTTGTTAAATTACTAATAACCACAACCAGGGGTGCTTGGGTGGCTCAAGTTGGTTAAGTGTCTGACTCTTGATTTTGACTCAGGTCATGATCTCAGGGTCGTGGGATCGAGCCCGCGCATTGGGCTCTGTGCTTGGTGGGGAGTGTGCTTGAGATTCTCTCCCTCTCCCTTCCCCCCACTAGTGCACTCTCTGTTTCTGTTGCTCGCTCTCTCTAAAATAAATAGTATTAAAAAATAATAATAACAACACTATTCGGAACAAGAAGAAGACTATCTGGAGAGGACCATGGGTCTGGTATTTGCCGGACCTCAGGCTGTGTACTTTTCATGCATCATCTTAAGTAAGGCTTTCAAATGTGGCTCTGAAGTCAGTGGCATCATCCTGTGCTTACAGAAGAATCCAAGGTGCTAAAGGGGGGCACCTGGGCATCACACCCAGGCCTGATTACCTCTGCAGCTGAGGCAGTCTTGCTGGCTCTCTTGCCTCCTGCCCTTGGGGGGTCAGGGCCAGCCCAGAGCAGCTGTTGAACGAGCACACGTGTCAGCTCAGGGCAGAGCCCCTGGCAAGGGACGGGTTCTGCCTGGGCCCACAGCCCCAAGCAGGCAGGCACCATGTGCCCCCAGGATGGGAAGCTGGGATTCCAGTCACCATGACAACTGTTCTGTCTGTCTCTCTCAGCTCCAGAGACGCAAGATCAAGTGCTACTTCCTGTCGGCTGGAGTCACCGTCCTGCTGGTCATCATCCTCATCACTGCCACCTCTATCCGAAAGTAATGCCGCCAACGGTGAGTGCCCCACCTGCCCCTGCGCCATCCACCCCTCCACCCTTCCGCTCATCTGTCTGTCCCTCCGTGGTCTGCTGTGTCAGGCACAGGCTCAGCCCTGGCGGCCCAGCAGGGGACGTGGCAGGTGGGGGCCGTCTTCCTGGAGCCCCCAGCTGAGGGCAGGCCAACTCGAAGCTCCCCTTCCTGCAGGCGCTGATTTCCGACGGGTCCCAACCGGCCGTTCGCGTGTTGGGCGGTGCAGCTGGCAGGTGCCGGGGCCCAAGGCGGGGGGCCAGGCCTCTGGTGGGGTTGTTGGATGGACAGAGTAGGTGCTGGGCCCCTCTTGGGCCTGGGCTGTATAGGACGCCTGGGCTGGGCGCTGGGCGGGAGCTGGGGCAGACGGGGACTGACCCAGAGCATGGGAAGCACCTGCAGAGGCAGAGCAGAGCTGCTGCTGTGTGTGGGGCGGGCGTCTGGGTTCTCTACGCTGTGCAACAAAGTGGCCTAAAACTTAGTGGCTGAAAATGGCAATCAACATTTATTACCTCGCAGTTTCTGTGAGTCAGGAATTCAGAAGGGGCTTAGCTGGTAGGTCTGCTCAGCGTCTTTTGTGAGGGTGCAGGTAGATGTGGGCTAGGGCCGCACGACCCAAGGGCCCGATGGGGGCAGGAGGATCCAGCCCGAATGTGGCTCCCCCCACGTGAGGCCCGCTGGGCGAGGGGTCCCCAAGAGCCAGGCAGCTGCCACACCTGGTCACTATGCAGCGTCACTCGGGGCCAGCCGCACTGGCGTGAGGGGCCACCTCACAGGGCATGACTCCAGGGAGGGATGGCCACGGGGCCCCCGGAGGCTGGCTTCCACATCCAGAGTGCTGCAGGGGCTACACAAGGATGCTTCTGGCTGCAGGAGGGGGTGCACGGTGTGAGGGCTGTGACAGGAAGGGGCCTATATGTCCACTGGATACCCTGGGGTACAGCACCTGGGCCCAGCACTGGAACACTGTGGGGGCTGGGGGAGGGGCTCGGGGAGGGGCTGGCAGGCCCTGCTGAGCTCCACAGCTGCCCCCCGGTGTCCCCCCCAGTCACTGTCATGCACGGTCCCTCCCACAGCCTGTGACAGTGTCTGTGGTGGGCAGCAGATGAGCAGGGGATGCAGGAAGCTCCGTGGACAGTCACCTCGGTCCGGGGCCCTCAGGCTCCTGCATCCAGACTTGTCTTAGAAGTGCCTGCTCTCTCATCAAGAGCCACCCCAACAAGGTTGGGATGCAGAGTGGGGGGGCGGGGAGCCCTGGCCGTCCGGAGGCCTGTTCTTGGTGGGTAGCTTCTCATTGGGTCCACTGTCCCTAAGCCTTGGCTGGGATGTCACCAGGAGAACAAGGAGCCAGCTCATGGTCTGCGCAGAGCATCGGAGGGAGTGGGGGGTGGGGAAGGGAGTCATGTTTGTGGTCGACCAGCTATGTATGCACACTGCATATCCATCACCTTGACTGGTCCTCCCAGCACTCCCAGGTGGACAGGTCCCAACCTGGCTGAACCCTGGAGCCAGGAGGGCTCTCTGAGACTCTGGCCTCCACACTATGGAAGAGTCTTTCCTGTTGTTTTAAGTCACCCCATTTGTGGTCATGTTGACCACAGCCCTAGGACAGAGCTGCACTTGCGAGGCGCTTGAGGCAGGCATGTTACATGGGGTGTCTGTGTCTCGGCTGGTGGGATGGGCGCCATCAGCACCATGGCCCCATTCTGCAGGGGAGACTGGCCCATTCTTAGGGCTTGCCCTCGGTCACACCCATTCTGGGTGCCTCCCATGTTGAGGTCAGATGTAGGGATGGAAGAGGCCTGGCAGGGGGCCTGGGAGCATTTTGATGTCTTGAAGCCATGACCCACGACTGCATGGGGGGGTGGGTCTGCAGGGGCCACACAGATGGGCCTAGGAAGAAGGTCAGTTTGGGCACCCAGCAGATGGATCCCCAGTGATCTGGAGAGAGGGGAGGAGTTATAATGGCTGGACCCTCCCCTTGTTCCTCCCCTGGGGCCTGGGGCTCTAATTCCTCCAGCATGCCCTCTCTCCTCCTTCAGATTTCTTCCTCCCTCCCCTTCCAGGTTGGGGAGCAGTCAAGGCCACCCAGTGGCTCTGCGCCCTGGAGCCCTTCCCCGTGCCAGAGGGAGCTAAGGGAGGTTGTGGGTCAGGGGTCTGGGGCCACGCAGGGACACATCATCTCTGGCATGCCAGCCAGGCCAGAAGAGAGGCCCGGCAGCCCAGACACTGTCTGCCCATAGTCGGCCCAGGGGACAGGGTCTCGCAGGGGACTGCCCTCGCTCAGGCCCCAGAGAAATGGGGCTGGGGTGGCTGCCCTCTTTCCTTCTCCCTGGAGCAGCTCTGAGGACAAAGGCAGCTAAATATAAACAGCACTTTGAGGAAGGAAAAGGCTTGATTCAAATGCAGGGGGATTATTTCCGCAGAGAAAAGCAGCCTCTGAGGGAGGAGCTCGGCTCCCTGTTCCCTGACTTGGAAGAAGCCCGACAGCCGGTGCACATGCTTATCTCTGGGTGTCAGGTGAGACGTGCCCTCTGGTAGCTCCGAGGGGGCAAAGGAGCTCCCCATGTCACACCCGTCGTCTGGGCCACCCCTGTGTCACCCCTGTGACCACCCCCATGGGCTAGGCTATTCCCCATTTACGGAGGGCTGGTGAGTCTGCCTCCCCCCTGGTCAGGCTGGGGTGCTCACTCAGGTGGAGCAGCTGCTGCCACCAAGCAGGTGCCTCCAAGAAGGCCAGTGCTGGGACTCTCCAAAATGCATGTGGCCAGCCTCACTCCCCACAGGGTTCCTGGACTCAGTTTACAGCAAGCGTGAAGGCTAGTCTGGGACTGAGTCAGGGCCCATAATGTGACTGGGCTCAGGGCTCAGGACATGACCGGGCTCAGGGCTCAGGGTGTGACTGGGATCAGGGCTCAGGGTGTGACCGGGATCAGGGTTCAAGGTGTGACCAGGATCAGGGCTCAGGATGTGACCGGGATCAGGTTTTAGGGTGTGACCAGGATCAGGGCTCAGGGTGTGACCGGAAGCAGGGCTCAGTGTGTGACTGGGATCAGGGCTCAGTGTGTGACTGGGATCAGGGCTCAGTGTGTGACCAGGATCAGAGCTCAGTGTGTGACCAGGGTCAGGCCTCAGAGTGTGACCAGGATCAGGGCTCAGAGTGTGACCGGGATCAGGGCTGAGAGTGTGACCAGGATCAGAGCTCAGTGTGTGACCAGGGTCAGGCCTCAGAGTGTGACCAGGATCAGGGCTCAGAGTGTGACCGGGATCAGGGCTGAGAGTGTGACCAGGATCAGGGCTCAGTGTGTGACCAAGGTCAGGGCTCGAGTGTGACCAGGGTCAGGGCTCAGGGTGTGACCGGGATCAGGGTTCAGAATGTGACCGAGATCAGGGTTCAGAGTGTGATTGGGCTCAGGGTGTGACCGGGCTCAGGGCTCAGGGTGTGACTGGGATCAGGGCTCAGGGCTCAGACCGGGATCAGGGCTCAGAGTGTGACTGGGCTTAGGGCTCAGAGTGTGATCGGGATCAGGGTTCAGAGTGTGACCAGGATCAGGGCTCAGACCGGGATCAGGGCTCAGAGTGTGACCGGGATCAGGGCTCAGAGTGTGACCGGGATCAGGGCGGCTCAGGGTGTGACCAGGATCAGGGCTCAGGGTGTGACCAGGAGCAGGGTTCAGTGTGTGACCGGGAGCAGGGCTCAGTGTGTGACCGGGATCAGGGCTCAGTGTGTGACCAGGATCAGAGCTCAGTGTGTGACCAGGGTCAGGCCTCAGAGTGTGACCAGGGTCAGGGCTCAGAGTGTGACCAGGGTCAGGGCTCAGTGTGTGACCAGGATCAGAGCTCAGTGTGTGACCAGGGTCAGGGTTCAGTATGTGACCTGGATCAGGGCTCAGAGTGTGACCAGGATCAGGGCTCAGTGTCTGACTGGATCAGGGCTCAGTATGTGACCAAGGTTAGGGCTCAGAGTGCGACCAGGGTCAGTGCTCAGAGTGTGAGCAGTGTGTTTTCAGTCTGTGGTCAATATTGGGTTTCCTGTGCCCTGGCCAGCACATGGGACGATAGGGTGAGACAAGCCAGCTTGCCCACCCTGCTTACTCCTGCCCCAGCCTCAACCCTGACCTCTGTAGGAGCCCCTTCCCCACCTAGGAAAGTGCAGCTCTTTGTGAATGCACGTGCAGGCCTCGTCATTTGGTGAGGAGGCCTCTCCCTGTAGATGAAGGTCAGGGTCAGCTCAGCATGTGGGGCCCAGAAGAGGAAGTTGGGGTAATTCTGGGTCTCCAGCACTGAGGTGTCTGGAGATGGACACAGAGCTCCTCCTCTGCAGTCCAGCTGGGACTCCTGGGGGCAGAGGGCCTAGGCTGCAGGTAAGTCCAGTGCCCCTCGTTCCCGGGCTGCAGTTGGCACGCAGTCCACTGTCTGCCTACTCACTGCTGTCCAGGTCTTGGCCGAGGAACCTTGTAGAAGCAGGGGAGTCCTTGGGATCTGGGGGTGTCCCCTCCCCACCATCCTCCTGAGCGCGCACGACCTCAGTGTCTGGGCCCAGGACCGCTTTCCATGTTGGACTTGGGTCGCTGTGGACTGTTCATGGGTCCCTGTGGGATGTGAGCCATCTGCGGTCACCAGACCATGCACAGGATACCTAGCAGGCGTGGGAGTGGGAAGGGCGGAGGCCCCTGGAGCGCTAGTGGGTGCCTGTCCTGGGTTCCGGGCTCCTGCTGGAGTCACAGGCTGGGCTCCAAGAGACAGAAGATTACAGTATCTAGGCAACAATCAATGAAGTATTTTTCATGCGCACAAAAAACGTAAGGGGCTAAATGGAGGCTTATAGCAAACCATGTTTTTAATGTTTTCTGAAAACCATGAAGTGTCGAGCTGAAGGCACTGATTTCCACTTGGGAAGCCCGGGGCGGGGGGTTGCATCCACACTTCTCTGCAGTGCACAGCCATGTGCTTTTTCACGTGTGTCTCTGCGTTCCT